GGGCTCTGAAAATCTGTGACTCCATCTTTGCTTTTACCTGTCTGTGTGCTCAATATCCCTATCTCCTGCCCTATTAGCAAGGAGTCATACATTCTTTAGAGACATGTAAAAGAGATGTATTTTGTACATTAATCAGACCATAGAGGAAAAACACAGTGGATTCATTCAAAAGTAAAACATAGTGACTTCCTTTCCAGGCCCTTACCCCATCTACCTGTAAATAGAATCTAATTCCTATCTCACTGCATCTACTGGACTTAGGGATCAGAGCTCCCTGCTCTTACCCAACATGACTGTTTATTTCTAAAGAGTTGATAAGCCCAAAGGAAAGGAAACCTTCAAAATTAATGCGACAGCTCCAAGCAGGGTTGGGATAGAGGCTCGGGAGAAAATGAACAGACACAATGCATGCAAACGGGACCAGCAGTTGCCATAATGGCTATTTCACTGGACTGTCATGTAGTCGACCGTAGTTCAAGTCCTAGACCCAGTGACTAAAACACACCAGTCACATGTGTGTGCATGCCCAAGCTCCCAAGAGAAGAATAGAAGAGAAGGGATTGTGGCGTGGCCATCCTGCCTAGGGGGTGATTTCTCACTTTCTCTCTCTCTGTCTTTCTCTATCTTTCTGGTGAGTGCACCCGCCCTATAACAAAAATCTCTCCCTCCCTCCCAGAAAAAAAAAAAAAAGAATGCATGTAAACAAGTAGAAGAGGTTATGGAACTGTATACTATAGCTGAATAAACATGTTGCTGACAATTCAACATACACTTCCAACACACATGCACACTAGTAGAACTATTGTCAATATGTACATCATGTAATGTTCAATGTTAAATACAATGACTATGTCCTTAATTTGATTTTTTTTTGAGAGGTTTTTGCTATAGGCCATGTGTGCTCGCCAGAGAGACAGAGAGACAGAAAGCGAGAAATCACCTCCCAGGGGGATGGCCAAGCCACAGTCCTTTCTCCTCCATTCTCCTCTCGGGATCTTGGGCACGCACGCACACATGCTCAGCATGAGTTTAAGCCACCAGATCCGGGACTCGAATCACAGTCGACTACATGGGAGTTCAGCAGCATAGCCATTATGCTAACTACTGGTCCCCTTTGATTTGATTACTACACACGATATGAATACTTTGAAATACTATAGTGTAGGGCCAGCAGGTAGCATGGTGGTTAAGGTGGTTAATGTGCTGATTCCAATATGGCCAACCATGATTGGAGTCCTGGACCTGATGGCTTGAAAATCACAAATTCATAAATTAACAAATAAATAAATGTTTAAAGGGGAAAAAAGAAATACCATAGCATAATCTAGAAAACTGTGCAATGATTGTTTGTAAACAAGAACTGTCATTGAATTAATCACAAGAGTGGTCAAATTCTATAATGGAAAATAATCTTGCATATTATTATTAACAATTGAGCTTAAGTGGAGAATTTCCTTTGCAGTCATCTCTCATTTAATCCCAAGCCCCTTCAGCTGACTCAACTATCATCATATATGTACACATAAGAAATGACACTAGCTTCACAGTCTCAGATTATTTTGTTTCACAGAAGTAGTTGATATTTTGCACTACCGGCTTTATAGACCAGTTTTGAAATTTTATTAAGAATATATTCTGGGACCAGCAGATGGCATAATAGTTACGTCGCTGAACTCCCACATAGTTGACAGCGGTTTGAGTCTCAGACCCAGTGTCATAAAACTCAAGCTGGGAGTGCGTGCCTGTGTGCCCAAAACCCTGAGAGCAGAATGGAGAAGGGATTCTGGTATGACCATCCTCCCCGGGCTGATTTATCGCTTTCTGTCGCTCTGTCTCTCCGGTAAACCCATGAGCTTTAGCAAAAATATCTTTCCAAAAAAAATTAATATATTCTGTTGGAGATATATTTTATATAAATCATGTAATGTGCTAAATTATTAAATTGTTAACTGTACTTCATATCCAAAAAATATCATTTTGTAGCTTCTCTACATTTCTGCATCATCATTGTTGACTCTGAGTGTGTTTTTCTGAATTCTCATCTACTCATTAAAGGACAATATAAAGACCCTGGTAGCAGGGCCTGCATGAGCCCAACATTTCCAAAGAATCAGCTCACCAGTATTGGCTGGTTACTATCCTCTTCTAGAAAGACACTGCTGTCCAGCTGGAGCAGTGGACTTCCTCTGTCTCCAGGGCTGACTTGTCCTGCAGGGTGGAGCTACTGTTAGATTCTTCTGTTCCTGAACTGGTTCTGTGTTTTGGCACAGATAGGCCATCTTCAGTTGAGCAAACATCACTCACAATTCTGTCATGGCAGTGGGGAAGGCCTGCTGTCTTCTGTTGTAGAGAAGCACCAGCTTCATTGCTCAGAAGCGATGCACCATCTTCAGCAAACTCATTTTCACAAGGGATTTCAGGTGTTACTTTTGGCAGAAAAGTGCCATCACTTTTAGGGATTAGTTTCTGTAATCTGATCTCGCAAGATGACACTTGTCATACTTAAATTTCTTGGAAGTTCACCTGTCTGTGGCTTTGTGTAATGAAGAAGTCAGACATGCTGTCTTGGCAAAATGGGAGCCAGCAACACCCTGGCCAGAGGCCAATCCACCTGCTGACCAGCCTCCAGCTCTCAGGTGTACTGAAGATCACACTCCACCTGTGAGCTGTGATCCTGGCTGGGAGTCTGGTGGGAGTATTGTAGCATGGTGAGACCTTGTCAAAGCTATCTCTCCCTGTCTGTCTCTCTTTCTCATGAAATTAAAAAATAATAATAATAAAGCTTCTGACTCCTTATGAGTGTGAATTGTAGGTTCACCCCAACTCCCTACCCCCCACAGCAAATGCTTCTCTGCCAAGTGGCAACCAAGAGGTCTTCCCAAGGAATCATAGTTTAAATTTTTTTCAATATAAAAATATATAATATGGGCATCTGAAGAATCAAAGAGGGAGAGATGGACGGGAAAGGACTTAAGCATATGTGATCCCCAGCTTAGTCCCACAGACATACAGAACCTGCAAGCAGGTGATCTCTGCCATGGACATGATAAGACTAGAGCATGAATCCTAATTGATGTGGGACTACTTTTAGAAGAATGGCTTCTCCTCCCAGTGTCTTGCACTGAACATAGCCTGGCTGTAGAGTGAATGTAGTGTTGTTTATCATCTTGAGACCATGTTGGGAGCACCAAGAGAGGGCATTGTTCTCATGGAAGTCCATGATTGTTTAGGATTATAACCAAGGGTTAGAAGTGGGTACAAAGCAGTAAAGAGGCAGAGTGAAGAGCCAGTAGAGAGACGTGTTAGCAACTCACCAAGGTGCCTACGGTGAGTGGTATTCAATCTGCAAAATTAACCCTTTAGGAAAACATATAAATTCTGTCTTAGTGGAGGTTCAATCTGCCATCTTTGTGGAGGTTCAAAAAAAAAAAAAAAAAGGTGAAGAATTTACTTACTCCCCAAGATTTTCCCCCTGAGGTATTATTTTATTATTTTTAAATTAATTAATTACACACTTGGGGGCCAGCAGGTGGCGTGGTGGTTAAGGACACTGGACTCCTACACGGCTGACCACGGTTCAAGTCCTTAACCTGGTGGCTTGCTTTCTCACTTCCTCTCTCTCTCTTTCTTCCTCTCTCTCTCCCTCTCTGGTTAAATTAAAAATAAATAAAGTTAAATAATTCTTTTTTAAAAAAAATTTCACATTCTACATAAAGTCTCTGTCATTATGCATACATTTAAAAAAAAAAGAGCTTTCCTTCTTTTTTTTTTTTTGTTAAATGTTTATTCCCTTTAAACTTCACATTAATTCTCATACTTTGAGGGTTTGTTCAGGGCATAGGATCCAAAAAGACACCTGTGGCAACATCAACAGAGAAGTTCAAGGGGGGAAGATCGTTACATCCAGTAGCAGAAACAAGAGAAAATTCACTTTGTGCCATATGGACACACATTGAGTTAATCCCAGGTGATCTGTGAGGTAAACTATGACCATTTTCAGCTTAAGAAATATTACTGCAGGGACCAGTAGATAGCATAATGATTACGTCACTGAACTCCCACATAAATGACTATGGTTTGAGTCTTTGACCTGGAGGCTTGAATCTCAAGCCGGGTGCATACACGTACATGCCCAAAATCCCAAGAGGAGAATGGGAAAAAAGGGGTTGCAGAGTGGCCATCCCCTTAAGGAGTGGTTTCTCACTTTCTTTCTCTCTCTGTCTCTCCAATGAGTGCACACACCCTATAGCAAAAATCTCTCAAAAAAAAATGCCTTACTACAAGAATTGCTTGTTGAACTTAATTAATAAAGCTTAAAGCAATGTGGCTTCATGCACTGAATTGACCTCTGAATAAAAAGAGAAGATGTGTCATCAAATTTCAATTATTTTATTTTATTTTGGGATTTTCTTATTAAACACTTTCAGCTTTTTAGCAATCATAAAATTTATTTTTTTACTCAGATTTTGAAGTCAGCATTGTAAATGTAGATATAATCTCTAAACATGGGAATCTCTAACTACAAAATGCAATGGAACCTTTTTTGTTAGAAAACTTTTTATTTAAAATACCACTCAAAATAAACAAAAGAAAATTTTAAAAATTATTGACTACACAAAGTTATTTACTTGTAAAATACTTTTAAACAAATCTTGTCCAGCATTCCATTGACTGCTTTTGTTTCCTCATCTGAAAAATGCAGTCATAATGATAACTTCATTGCAGAGGAAAATAAGCAATAAATTACTTCCTCCATAAAGTACCTAGAAAACTGCCCAGAATATTTTGAATGTTTTATAACTTTTAGTAGTCTTTCTTCTCATTTCCCATAAAATACTACTCTTCTTTATAATCTCTTTCATGGTAATATACCTAAATATAATACAAGCAGCATTTAGTGGAAAGTTCTTTAAAGATGCCTCTCACAGAAAATATGAACTAGTCACAAACTCCATACACATTTTATCCTTTAGAATAGGAGCCCAAACAAGGCAGCATCTTCAGTAGAAGCAGACCGTGTGAAGAAAACTCTTCCCTGATTTCTCCTCCATTTCCAGGAGCAGCTTACCCACACTGTCTTCCATGTCTTCTGCCTGCTGCAGGCACTGGCAGAGCTCATAGATGAGGAAGGCTCCAAGGGTGGCTTCTTCTTGGGTGTCTTTGATGTCCACGTTGATCACATGCACAGGCTGGAAGGTTTCCTGTTCCCTGGAGTACAGATATTCCACTACTCGGTCATACACGCTCTCCTCACAGGTGAAGATGACATCAAAGGGATCGGTGCAATCCTGAAACCTTTCTGGGCCGGGCTTGATTCTCTCATTTCTTCCCAAGATATGTAAGATCCCATTCTTGGTGTAGAATTCTCTGTCTTTCCTGACAAGGTCATCAGACATCTCTTTATATGTTGTTGCAAAGTTATAAACCACAGGCCGCTTGCGTCTTGTTCCTGGAAGCTTCACAAAGGATGCAGTTCCAAAAGACCGGACACTGATCCCTTTCTTCCTGAGCATGCTATGGGCTTCCATACTCCTGTTGATGTTGCTCATACACACCACAGCCAACCTGAGTGAGGATGAGGGCATGATGGTGGCCACTGGGAACTGCAGCCAGACGCAGGAATCTTGGTCACTGCAGTCACTCTGAGACAGGAGATAACCGAAGTCCAGGTTTTCCAAAGAAATAGATGTTGAAGGGTTGGAACTGGATTTATATTGGGTCACCTGAGTGGATTAGGCAGAGACTTCAGGACTTGTTGATTGATTCAGTTAAGATAGTGAACTATTAATAGAACCTTAGAGATTAATCTAATAATGACTCACCCTATGTGATTGAATCAACAGATTCGCTTATTCTTAGAGTTGATGCTACATGATGGTGACTGATTAAATCCAAAATCAATCTTGTTGCTTCCCAAAGTGAATGTAGGCTACTATTAGTAGTAGCCAAATGTCCCCTGGGAGACCAAAATCACTCCTGCTTGAGAGCCACTGCTTTAATTTTTATTTTATTTCATTTTAAAAAGCTTTCTCAACTCTAACTTCCATTTTAACTTTCTGTTTTACATATAATCAGTGTATATCTTTATGGACTATAGTTTTTTATTTTTGTTTTTTGACATAGGGTGCATGCGCTATCTGCTATCATTATAGTGGATAGTATTAGTAGTTATAGTGTATAATACTCATAGTGGATGATTGGATTAGATGTTGATTGAATGGACAGTGATGACTCAAGAAGGTAAAGGTAAATACAACTTATTTGAACACTGGCTTCATTTCAAGGAATCAGAAATTCTTGTCTTCATATATCTGCCTATAGAGAAAAACATACAAGACAAAGCCTGGAGATGTGCATCAGAAAAAACAAATGCCTTGGATCTGGCCCCACAGCCTAGTGGTGACAGGAGGCCAAACCCCATTTGGCTGACTGTGGCTTAAAACTCAGCCCCTTCATCATCCTCATTCAGTTCCACCCTCCTTTGAGATGGATTCCTCTTCTCCCAGTATGGAAAGATGTCCTTTCAGAATCTGTTGTAGAACGCCATCGAATGAATGACCACCAAAGCCAGATTAAGTTTAAAGGGAATCTTTATTAGCAACTACAGCCTGAGGTTCAGGGGCTGAGAGTCAGAACTGTAGCCCCGACCAAAGTTTGAGTAGTTTTTTTATAGGGGGTCAGTTACCAGAGGTTTCTATGCAAGCTGTTACAGAAGCTGAATCAAGCAGGTTAATTATTTCTGAGGGGAGTGGGGTTTCTATGCAAGCAGTTACATTGCGAAACAAAAGGGTTTCGGGCTAGTTAGCAAAGACACTAGCAGGTATAGGATGTCATCCCAGATGCGGTTTTCTGTATGGCTAGCACAAGCTATTTTCTCATGGGAAGAGTAAGCAGGTTTACAGAAGCAGACAGCCATGTTAGGGTAAGGGAACAAAATGGACAAACAGTTGTTCATGTGCAAGATCTAATATGTGGCCTTCCACAAATCATGTATGAACAGTACACACAAACACACATACATGCACACAGTTTTGTTTAATTTTTATTTTTTAAAGTGTACATACTATTTTGTTTAGTTTTAATTTTAACCTAAACATGAAGTTAGTTTATCTCTTCTACAAAGACAGTAATATCCAAAAATATTTTCCACTTTGTCTTTCTTTCAGTTTGAAAATTTTTAGTTCACCAATGCCTATTGCCAGAATCTTTCATTTACTCTCAAGACCCTTAAGCATCTAGATTTGAATCAAAATAATACCTCCGAGAGAGTGGGGGAAAGCATCTATGTGTGGCCTTCGATACCACTCATATAGCCTGATGAAACTGAAATAAGTGACTTTCTTGGCTTTCATTGTCAAAAAAGAAAGAATTTGTCACTGGGGTTGACTGGATGATTGGACCTCTAGCATTAATCTCTTTACTCCGTGAGTTTTATCAATGTGCCACCTCTCAAATGACTTAAAGCAGTGATTCTTAAGGTTCAGTGGAATACCAATCAACTATAAAGAATAACAAAATCCTGTGATTTGACACAAAGTGGGCAAATCTAGAGGATACAATGCTAAGTGAAATAAGCCAGGCTATGGAAAACGAACACTGTATGTCCCCACTTCACATATATCAAATGTCCATACTTTATGGACACAGGTATAGAGTAATGATAGATACCAGGAGCTGCTTAGGAGAGGTTTGGAGGGGAGTTTGTGAGAAAATTTATAATGGACACAAGAATACATGTAAAAAAGAAGCTACAGGTTTGTATATCACAGTAGAGTAAAAATATATGAACAATTTAATATATATTTCAAAAAATACTAGAACTATTAACAACTGTGCACAACATAATATAATCATAAGATGAATATGTGTATATCCTTTGATTCTTGTACAGTGTATGCCTGTCTTAAAAAGACATACTGTAGGGGCCAGCAGGTGGCATGGTGGTTAAGGCACTGGATTCCCACATAGGCAACTGCAGTTCAACTCCCAGGCCCACCAACTTGAAAATCACACTAGGTGTGTATGTGTGCGTGTGTGTGTGTGCCCAAAATCCCAAGAAGAGAATGGAGGAGAAAGGACTGCAGCGTGACCTTCCCCCCAGGGGTTAGTGTCTCACTTTTCCTCTCTCTGTCTCTCTCTGCTGACCACATGCACCTTATCACAAAAAATTAAAAATTATAGCACACAAAGATATACACTGATTACATGTAAACAGAAAATTAAAGTGAAAGTTAGAGTTGAGAAAGCTTTTTAAAATGGAATAAAATAAAAATTATAGAAGTGGCTCTCAACCAGGAGTGATTTTGGCCCCCCAGGGGACAAGTGGCAATGTTGGAGATATTTTTGGTTGCCAAAACTGGAGGAGGAAGTGTTACTGGCACCTGGTCTGTAGAAACAGATGCTTCTGAACATTTTACAATACACAGTACAGTCCCATACAACAAAGAATGACCCAGATCAAAATTCAATATTGCCAAGGTTGAGAAACTCTGATGTAAAGGAACTGGCGTCTTTTCTTGTCCTGTGGATTAGCTGTGGCATTGTGGGAAGTGATGAAAGTTACTGGACATGCCCCTCATGCTCACTCTGCTCACAGACAGGCCTGACCACACATAGGTTGCTAGCCCCACAGAGAGGGGATCCATCCTGACAGGCTGTGGGGTCTGCTGCATCCTTTTTTATTTTTTTATTTTTTTTTCTTTTGGAGAGGTTTTTGCTATAGGGCGTGTGCACTCACCAGACAAAGAGAGAGAGACAGAGAGACAGAAAACGATAAATCACCCCCCCAGGGGGGATGGCCACATTACAATCGTTTCTCCTCCATTCTCTTCTCCGGATATTGGGCACACACACATGCGCTCCCGGTGTGAGTTTAAGCCGCCAGGTCCGGGACTTGAAACACGGTTGACTACATGGGAGTCCAGCAACATAGCCATTATGCTAACTGCTGATCCCTGCTGCATTCTTCATCTAACCCTAAGACTAGTTCTCTGAACATCCCTACCTCCAGCAACCCTCAAAATCAACATTGATGTTTCAGGGCCCATTTTTTCCTCTGTCCCATTCGTCAAATCTGAGGACCCAAATCTAGAGTTTTACTAGAAACACTTTCCCCAAAACTAGTCATTAGTCACAGAAGAATGGGAGTTGCTAAGAGGAAACACATGGCTCAGAGCCATAGGTAGAAAACTCTGAATTTTATTTTTTAATTTGCCAGAGGGCATGTGCACTTGCCAGACAGAGTCAAACAGAAAAAGAAAGATGGAAAAACCACTACACACACCCTCACACACTCCATGAGGTAGGGTCACACCACAATACCTTCTCCTACATCTCTCCATCCTGTCTGAATTTGGGGCATGCACACATATGTGCCCTGAGGGGGTTTTCAATATACTGGGGCTGTGATTCAAAACATGAAGTCGAAAAGAAAGGAAAAAAAAAAACCCTCTTAAGTCAGCCATGTGGGATTCAGCTCCTTTAACCACCAGGCCATGAGGCCAGTTGAGGAAGAAAAGTATTCATCCTAAAGCAGAGAAAATAATCAATGGTCAGAACCTTGTACTGAGTATTGCAGAGTGAGATTGGGGTGTGGGCTTTCTGTCTAGGGAACAAGGAAATGGGACCATAAGGCTTGTGTGCTTCATGGAAACTATGGATATTATTTGTGTCCCAGACTCACCTCAGAGAGATACTGCTGCCTCAGAACTAATGTGACATGGGCCCCTTGGTGACTCTCTTCAAGGCCTAAAGGATCACCATACCATTGCTGCTTGTTGTGGGAATCTCTTCAGTGCTCTAGAGCAGTTAACAGCTGAGAGATTTGGACCTGAGACATAATGTCAGAAAAAAGGGCAAAAAGCTACTCTATGAGACCTGGAACATCAGTCCCATGCCTATGATTCTCAGGTAGGATAATGGAGCAACCTTGACAATAGGGAGTCAGAATCAGCCTATCATGCTGGAGAGAAAGTGAGTTACCTGAACTAGTCTCAGGAGACAGTCTCCTCACCAACACACCAGAATTTTGGTTTTTCTTTTCCCTTGAGTGGCAGGAGACAATCGAGGTTAAAATTAATAAGTTAGAGTAGATCATATGAGTGTTCTAGATGGTGCTCTAGTGTTCTAAAGGGTTTCTAAGTGTAGTAATAGGAAGATTAATAGAAGCATGACAGAATAGACAGAGTGCAGAAAAAAATACAAACATCAATCTTGTTTTGTCACTCTGAGAAGGAGCTGCCACCTTCTGAGACAAAAGCTTTAGGACAATTTCTAACTCTCATTTTAGGTGCTCCTAATGGGAGGAATAACTTTGAAGCTGAGAAACATGGGTCCAAGGCTCAGCACCTCAGAGTGTTATTGCTGTGTCAGTTAACACTACACAGTGAGGTCCTTGCCATGAGGCTCCAGGGCAGGTTCTCTGATACTGTTTTCAGAGGACCAGATTCCAGGTTTCAGAGCAGGCAGAGGCTGCGTAGGCAGGTGTTTGGGAAGTGCAGGTTGTGCCTGCTGGTGAAAAAGATGAAAGTATCATGTGAGTCCCCTTCAGTAATTAATCACATAAGCCTATGCTAATAGTGTAGAA